GGCCTCGTACCCTTCCGTTCTTATCACTTCGGGTGTGCCAGTCCGCGTCCCACTCATCGTGCCACAAGACATCCTGCGCTCTTGCCCGCACGATAGATCGACGTCTCCCACTGCTCCCGACATGACTCGAGCTAAACGGTCTTGTGGCGCTTTCGAGGACCGGTGTCGTCTTGATTCCGCTCTGCAGCAACGACAGCACGAAGACACAACGAGGGGAAACGACGACAAGCCGAAAACGAGCAGCGCCGTTCAGGCCCTGCCCTGCTCCGCCCGCCGGTCGCCGTCGAGACTCTGTCTCCGCGTGCCGCGTGCGCGGGGGACCGGCGGACAGGGGGCGCAGCTGCAGCGGCGGGAAGGGCGGGGCCAGCGTCAGCGACGACACGAACCCCGTCATGCCCTCAGCCATCCCCGGGGGCGGCGAGCACGTGTCGGGCCGAACGAACGTGGGGGGATAGGGAAAGAGGGGGGGGGGGGTACGAAATCTGCTGCATGCAGCTGGTTTCGGCCCCGCCGCCGGGCCCATTCCTCGATACATGGGCGCCTCCCGGCGCCGGGAGGCGCCGGGAAAATCAGCTGCGCGAGCTGATTCTCAAACCCCCCCTTTGCTATCCCCCACTTTCGCCTGGCCCGAACGTGGGCGATGCCGGACACCCTGAACCCAGAAACGTGTCTGTCCTCTGGGGGCCGGGCGCAGCTTTCACTCCCTCCGCCTCCCGCCAGCCGTCCGCCGGCGGAGGCGGCCTCGTTCTGCTTCCGCCGACCTTTCGCCGCCCTTCCGCGCCGCCTTCCGCCGAGGACGAGACTTGGCATCGCTCGGACGTGTGCATTTTTTCTCGGCGAGAAGAAGTGAGGACCATCCTGGACCATCGAGCCTAAAAAACACACACGAAACCGACAAGTGCACGGGAAGTGGACGTCCGAGCGACGGCAAGGAGGTGACAACGCCCTCCATCCTCGAAGTGGGCGCTGGCCGAAGCTTCGGTCGGTGGGGATCGCACTGGGGCTGCCGTGACCGGCGTGTCAGTGTAGAGCGCGCCCCGACAGTTTGGGCCCGACGCGGGCCCCGGAGGGGGCGCCCCAGACTGAAGTCGGGCGCGTCCCTCTCGGAAGGAATACGCAACAATAAAAAAATATGTTCCCGAGCCGATTCTTTGAGCATTCTTTGGCAAATTCGGATGTTTAAAGGTGTTTTTTTTTGTTTTTTATATAAAAAACAGCCAAGATCCTTCTGTAGGGTGACGTGCCCGACCTAACCCCAGACCCTCGCGCCTCCCCCGCTCCCCGCCCCCGCGGGCAGCGCCTCACGCCGAGCAGATCGATGCCGGGCGCGCGCCGATCCACGCCCGCATGGCAGGGGAGGGCCAGCATTCCCGAGGGCACCCTCTGCACGTCTTGCGTCTGCCTCGTCCATCCTTGGCCACTTTCGCGGGCCGTGCCCCGCTCTCCAAGCTTCGGAGTGGGCGTCTGAGGCCCTCGCATCCCTACCGCGCATCCTTGTGTTATGTGAGGCCTGTCCGTCTGCAGGAGGAGAATGCAAAGGTAGTTGCAATCTGCTAGTCTGGGGAGGATCTTGTTTCGTTAGTTTGTTTTTTGTTGCGATGTTCTAGTGTGTTGGGGGTCTGTTTTATTTTTCTTCCAATATCCGCCTGAAGGGGGACATGCCCGACCTAATCCTTGTGCTACGGGCCGACTGTACTAAGCATCCACTGGCGTTGACTGGTCAGCCCTGGCCTGATCGATCCCTTCCTCGGGTGCGTCTACTCAGTTCCGTCGCTTCTCGGGGTGCTTCTCGTGGGGTGGCCCTCCTGCCCTCCACTCTCTCTCTCTCTCTCTCTCGTAGTGTTAAGTCGGGCCTGTCCCTCTACAGGAGGAATATTCAAAAATAGTGAAAATTTGGGGATGATTTTGGAATATGTCTGTATTATGTTTGAGCATTTGTTTGGTATTTGTTTTTTCGTCCGGAATTCTCCTGTAAGGGGACATGCCCGACCTAATCGTGAAGTTCGGAAGGAGCTCGAGGTACCCTGGGCTCTGCACTTGGCGTTCTCTGGGCACTCCTCGCGCACCCATGCGCAACAGTGGCCCCAAAGGGGCTGCGTTCCTCACATGTCAAAGACTCCTCGTGGCAGGTCTGCGGGCTGTGTCCGCAGTCGCGGCTGGTCTGTGGGCCGTGGCCCTCCTGCGGCGGTCGTTTCCCGCGGCCCGGCTGTGGAACTGCCTGCGCTGCTGCCCAGGACTCCCTGTCCCTTTTCCTCGCCATCCTCCTTTGCGATCTGGATAGAACAATTCCACAGAAAGATGTGGTCCTGGGCGCTTGTCTCGAATACTCACGATGTCACATTATTTTGTCGCGTCGCCGGATCTCAGGGTCGATTCAAGGGTGGTCGCCTGAATGGTGGGTGGGAAGATGTACAGACATCCTGCACGGAAACGAGTGAACCAACAAACAAACAAACATGTTCCCGCGGTCGGCTGGGCAACATTGCCAGGCAAAGCAGTTGTCGACAACGCCAACGCACACACCGATCCCGACGGCGAAGATGAGCTGAGCATGCCGACGATAAGGCCAGCGACGACAACGTCGTTGCTGACGAGCTGACGCCGCTGGCGCCGAGACGACGCCGACGTCCGCGTCGACAGCGGCATCGTTTGCCCTCGAGGTGCCCGCGACGACGAAGACGCCAGAGCCAACGACGACGACGCCGATTTGGTGAGGCTTCGGGTTGCGCAGCACAGACAGTTTCCGCAGCTAGTCCTGCTGGCCTCGCCAGGCCGTCCGAGCAGTCGCACATGCCCCCCGAGTAGCCTGGGACGGTCTCAACACCCTGGGGCTGCCTCCGGCGGCGACCCTGGGGCGCTCTTCGCCACAGGCTTGAGGTTTTGGGATTGCCCAGGGCTGCTCAGGGAGCCCGTTGTTGGCAACTGGCGCTGCTCGAGGGGGGCTGTCTGCGCGCAACCCGAAGCCTTACCACGCCGATGATGCCAGCGGCATCGACGAAAGTGACGACGACGGCAACGATAATCCGTCCTGCCAGTGTTTCGTCTGAGTCTGCTTGCGGGTCTGTCAGGTTGACGCACGAGTGGCCATGGGGGCTGGGGGGGGTGCCAGCAGACCGATGTCGCACTCCTAATCCTATCCTCCGTACTTGTTCAATGTGAACAATACTCTCCCGTCTTCCTTACATCTGAGCGGAAGATGCTCCACCCTCGCCGCGTATTGCTCTCACAAGGTTCCATTACTCGATGTTCTCTGTGTTTCTTTCCGGTTGGAACGCTCTCGGTGCTTCAAAGGAGTGCTCCCGCTGCATGGTGTGTTTCATTTTGGGATGGGCTGTTTGTGCCCGTCGTTCAGAATGACCCGCTCGCTCCAGTGCGGGCAACTTGCCTGGATACGTGTCCCTCCTCATCGTTGTCGCCCCAGCACTTTCCCCTCCTCCGCCTTCCCCTGGTCCTCCTGCTCCTCCCGCTCTTTCCTCTCCACCTCTTGCTGCTGCTGAGTGTCATCGTCTTATTCATTAATCGTTCTCCATCCTGCTCTTCTCCGTCTTAATCCGCCATTTGACCTCCAATACACGCAGCTTCCTTTCTTTCCGACTGCGTCTAACACCTAACTCCATGGCGTCTGTTCTTGATTTCCAGGCCCATTATGTTTCTGTGAATAGAGAGAAACAGTACAATTGAAAGGGATTGGTGGGAGGGGTCGGATATCATGTATGCCGCGGGCGCACCGAAGCTTTCCTCTTCTCTTCTCTTCTCTCCATCCTCCTCCCCTCCTCATCTCCTCCCCTTGCTCGCCGCCTCGTCATCTGGTGCTCCTCCGCCTGGTCCTCTCCCTTACGTTTGCCCTCCTCCTGCCCCCTTCCTGCCCACGTCCTCACCTCCTTTTCTCTGCCTCGCTACACTCGTCGGTAGGGCGGGCCATGGTTTTCATTTGCGAGGTCCTCAGTATTTATGGTAATGAAGCTGGATCATCCCAAGAATCGCACAGCTGGAGTGCGAGTGGATTTTAAATTGTGGTTTTAGCTTCAGCGGTTCGCACATACGTGGCATCTGATGTTCAAGACGTGGCTCTTACTGTGGCGCCGCGCAACTTCGCCCGTATAGTGCACAACTGTTGCACGGATTGATGGTTACGCATTTGTTGGGCGTCGTTCATCAGGTTTATGTGTTCAAGCATTTGCACGTACGGAGGGTAGACATTCCTCACATTTGCATTCTCGTCATGGACGCCATTCGAGAAGATGGCAGAACCTGACACTCCGAAGCGCGTTACCGTATTGAGGGCTGTTCTCTTTCAGCATTGTGGTTTCGCCGGTGGCAACTTCCGTTTTGATGACGCGCGTTCGAATTGTGCAACTGCTGAGCGAGTGGAGGGCAGCTCTATGTCAACATGGGGTTATCGTTTTTCACGGCCTGAGCCTTTAGGATGGTCCAACACCAAGGATTGAGGGCGGTTTCGTTTCAAATCGGTTCTCTCGCCTGGAAGGCGCGCAAGGGCGCTCTGCAGCTCTTTGAAGGAGTGCTTGTACGGACTTGTGATAAGGGAACTTTGAAAATCAGCGATTGCCGCCGCCGGATTGATGCATCCTGCGCTCAATTTACTCCCCACGTGTGGCAGGCATCTGAGTTTCAGATTCCCTTGTGGGCATCTGGTGGAGCTGGGGTGCGTGGCTTTGACGTCCGCTGAGTACGTGTGGATGGAGATCTTAGGGCTGGCATTGGAGAATATGAGTCGCTGCCGTTGAGCATGTATTCGTCCGAAGCTCAGCTCTGGATCAGGGTTCTACTCGTTGTGCTGATACGGTCGCGCGTTGGTCAAAGATGCTACGTACATTATGGGGCTGACTTGTAGATGTGTTGACCATTACCCTAATCTCGCAAAAACGGATTTCGTAAGCGTATGTCTTCCAGTCGATATTCTGGCTCAAGGTTGATCCAGCCCATATTGTTTCCCATACCGCATACTGTTGCGGTTAGGCTGCCTGCAAGCAGGGAGCAGGATGGTAGCCGCGGGCCGAATAGCCGGCTTCACAGTCTTCGTGGCAACCTTCACGGTGGTGCTTGCTAGGGATTGGGAATTGCCAATGCCAATGCCATATTGTTCTGCTAGTGCTGGCAAGTCCCATCCTTGCCTCCAGGAATTGTAGAATTATTGGGAGATCCCCAGAGCTCACTGGAGTTGGGACTCCAGATGTCCATAGTGGCCTCCAGAGGTTTCTTGATGCCGAAATAGCAAAATAACGTTTGGAGAGATCCACAAATGTTGAAATGACTTCGGTATTCAAAATGGGGAGAGTTTTGGGCCTGGCCAGGGTTACTGTTGGTATACTGCTGACAGATTCCTAGAGGACGCGCATGCGCGGTGCAAATGGGCCGGCGAGAATTGCATCAAGGGCGTGTTCGACCGTGGGTATTGCGTGCCTTTGGACTTGAATGAGGATCACCATTGAAGAAAAGGGGTTCTGATAGAAAAAATGTTTTGAGGAGTTCACATGTTTCACCCTTCACGGGGCCGTCCCAGTGCCCGGGAACGTCAAATCAGAATTTAGAGTACACATGCGACCGTGGGGAACGGCGTCCAGGGCCTGTTTCTCTCAGGACCCGTTTCTTTTTTGGCAAGAGGAAAAACCCATCACGTTCAAGGACGGGAAGCTCAAGTTTCCCGCGGTACCTTCAGTTAGCGAGGATTATTGCACCAAGTATTTGAACCGGTACCCTTGGGTGGCGAAGGATAAGGACCCAGAGAAGAAGTACCCGGCCTGGCACAGGGATGATTGGGTGGCTGGTAGTTGCGATTGTTCTGAGTGGGATGGCAGTGCTCAAGAGTTATGAGAGTCCACGCCCCAGCGAGACATCAACATCAAGTGCTTGCGCATTGTGTTGCCCACCAGGACGGCATTTCCAAGAGGACGACGGCAACGACTGTGACCCATACGGCCCACGCCTAGCTCCATTCCTCGTCGTCGACCTCCTCCCGCTGGACAGGCCACGTCCCGATTCTGGCCGTGTCGCTCTGGCCATGGCCAGGTAGGTGCCAAACTAGACCCGCCGTCGCGGTCGGCTTGCGTGGACGAGTCAGAAAACGCCAGTGCCTTGATGTCGCATCGGCTCGCCTGTCTTCGATGCTCGAGATTCAAGCTTCTGCGAGCAGGACCACCGACGACCGAAGACCGCCGCAGACCGCAGACCGCTGGAGAGACCGCCGCAGACCAGCAGAGACGGTCCTCGGGGTCGGGGCCTTCCCAAAGATGTCGGAAGGCCTGCGGCGTTGAGAGCAGCTCCCTAATCATACACAGAGAGGGCTTCTGAGACGGCCAGAGGGCTTCTGGGAAGGCCCGCCGCCTTTGAGAAGGCCCGCCTCCTCTCGCTACCCCCCCGGCGCGCGGGCGAGGCTGCTGCCGAAAACCGTTAGAGACCGCCAGAGACCGCGGAAGACCACCGGATGCCGACGGGCAGAGTTGGGCTCAGCAGCTCAGGTTCGCGCGGCGTCCCCAATGCGTGCCTCTGCGACCCTCCTCCCTTGCGTTGCATCTTCGGGGGACCTCTCCTGTCACCAACATTGGTGCTTTCTCTTGTGCCCGATACGGACTCGACGCGGATTCGGCGCGGACTCGGCGCGGATCCGACAAGTCCGGCATGGATTCGACACGGATGTTCGACGCGGGCAGGGCCGCGACGGGACAGGCCAGGCTTCCCCCGATGATGCAACAGAATATCCTGCTCAAACCGCTTGTGTTAGATCGGGTCTGTCCTTCTACAGGAGGGATATCAAAAAAAGTCAAAAATAGTCAGGGGACGATCGTTTTAGTATTTTGTTGCATGTTTTGAATTTGCTCGCTTAAGAAATTCGTCCCAAATCCCCCGGCAGGGGGACAGGCCCGACCTAACGCTTGTGCCCCCCCGTGCGCAGATGTGCCGTGGAAGCGCCAGCGCGCAGCTCACTGCGGCGAGGGCGCCTCGCCCTCGCCGCATCCTCGCCCCCCTCGCGGAGGGCCGGTGGACGTGCCAGGAAGCTGGATGCACGGGGGGCGGCCCGCTGAGGGGGGCAGTTGGACTCGGTGGCAGATCATGGGTGCCTCGTGTGTCCTCTTCGTGCCGTCTCTGGCGTCGACGTGCGCCGATTCGCGCCTGGGAGTCGGTGAGGTGGCGCCGACGCAGCGCCGAGTTGGCGTTGGCCAGCGTCGATGTCGGCGCCGATGTCGCGTTGCTGTGGCGCCGGGTTCCAGGAGAGCCGACAGGCAGCCGGCAGGCACCGGAGGGTCTCCCAATTGGGGTTGCCACCGGCAGCCGGAGGCACGCGTGGCGGGGCGCCTGTTTTCCAGCGCTCGGCCCTCCTGTGTGGGAGGTGCACGCTGGGCCTCCGCGAGCGTGTCCAAGCGCGGGCCTCTCCGTGTGTGTGTGTGTGTGTCCCGCCCGCGGAGATCCGGCCACGCGTGCTCTTTCTCCCGCTTCCCCCGGCGTGGGGCGCAGGTCGCCTCTTCGGCCCGTCGCGGCACCCCGGGCCTGGAGTTGAAGGCGGGCGTGCCCCTCGACAGGGGGAGTAGTCGACCACAGTCAAATTAAACTAGTCCGAGGTTGTTTTTGTTTGTATTTGGGGGCATCTTTCAAAACATGGTTGGGGTATGTTAACTGTTTCTTGCCACATCCGCCCGTAGGAGGACATGCCCGATCTAAGCCGAGAGCAGGTCTTCGGGCCTGGCGCAGTGGAAGAGCGATGGCAGGAGGTCCCTCGATCGCCGAGGGCGACGCGACAGTTCGGCTGCTCGAGCGCCCGGGCTTGGCCCCGCCCCCGCCCCCGCGCTCCACGGAGCCGCACACTTCAGGTCTCCCGTGCCGAGACTCGCACTGTTGGGCAACAAAACAATGACATATGATGAGCCTATATTCCACCACCACCACCATAAGTTGGAGGGGGGAGGGAGGAGGAGGACGAGGAGGAGGGCGAGGAGGAGGAGGAGGAGGACGAGGAGGAGGAGGAGGAGGAGGAGGGCGAGGAGGAGGACCCCCCACTCCAACTTGTGGTGGTGGTGGAGAACACGCCCACCAGCATAACCACAAAACGTCGGAGGTTCGCGCGGATTCCTCGGATCGGCGCTGAAGACCGTTGCACCTTCTGTGCGCCTTAGGGGGCCCGTCCGGGAGCCCTCTGGGGCCCAAGAAAGGGGCACGCAAGGAGCACGGTGCTTCGCCCCGCCCCCGTTTTGGATCCCCCCCTAACACTGAGCCACGCTCAGGTCGGGCATGTCCCCCTACCAGCGGATCCTGGACGACGAATTTGAAAAAAAAACGAAAATACTCCCAAGTGGTCAAACAAATAGTTAAACTAAATCGGCCCTGGACTATGGTTGGACCATGTTTGCAGATTCCTCCTGTAGAGGGACACGTCCGACTTCACCATATCTCGACTCAGCTTCGACGCAGCTCGGAGGGGTACCTCCTTGTTTGGGGCCCCTCTGGGCATCCTTGATCCTGGCTGGGGTCGGATCCTAGCTGGGGTCGGAGCAGCTGGGGTCGGAGGTTGAGGACCGGTGCGCCTGCTGTGCGTCTTACTAGGGGCGCTCGTTGTCCTCGCGCTTTTTCTTGTTGTCCTGGTGCTTTGGCCGTCCCCGTGGACTGCGCACGGCCGCGGCCCCGTCCGCGCACATCGCGCTGTCGTTCGCCTCGGCTCCTAGGCGCGGCGGGGAGGAGGAGGAGGAGGAGGAGGAGGAGGAAGAGGTTGCCCTGGCAGGCCGTCTCTGGATTCCTTGTCGAAGGTGTCCTCATCCAACAGTGCCCCACCGCATGCGGCGCCCGCAGGACCCCGAGTGGACTACGGGGGTGCTCGGGCCAGCGAAGCGGTAGCTAACAAAAAAACGTGCCCCGCCGTAGGCCGCTGTTCGTATCCCTGCTCCACTCGCCCTGCTCTGCTCGCCGTGGCCGTCGCTGGCCCGAGGTTTGCGCGCGTGCTCGGCTCCGCCCGCGCTCCGGCCGCCTCCCCGCCGCAGCCCCGCAGCCCTCGGAGGGGCGAGCCCGAGCAGCACGATGGTCTGACTTCTGATCGACGCCGTCGCCTTCGTGGCGCGGAAGGTGTCCTCGGCGCTGTCCCCTGACGAGGAGACTTCGGCAGCAACGGGTGCTCGTTGCACCCTCTGGGCCACGACGCGCGTTGCGCCCCCCCCCCCCCCCCCCTTTTCCCTCCCCCCCCCCCCCGCCCCCACCCCGCAACGTAACGCTCCCTCACGAGTGCGTCCCGGCACCGCCGCCGTGCGTCCTGCACAGCAGTCTGTGGTGCCCGATCCACGGCGGGGGGGGAGGGCGTCACATTATGCACCGCACCCCCGCCCCCCCCCCCACGCACACCCCATATAAACACCCTCGATCGCCGAGAGCAAGACAATTCTCTCAATTAATGTGAGCCTTGCGTGTCCTGGGAAGTCCATCTTTAGAGTGCATGATCTCGCGCTAGCGTTTGGCAGTTGATGACAAAGCGTCGATGTAACGTGCGTCGGTTTAGCGTCGATTAGGATCGGTTAGCGTGGATTCGCAGCAGTCAGCAGGATTCGGTGGCGCGCTCGGTGCTCGGTGGGAAGTGAGAAGGGTCAGGCCTTCTCAGAAGGCGACGGGGCTTCTCAGAAGCCCTCTAGCCATCTGAGAAGTTGTCTGTGCTTCCGGGGAAGGCTCAGACCACTTACAAGACACCTGTAGGCTTTCCGAGCCTTCTGAGAAGGCCCGCTCACTCTGACTTCCCCTCTGGCGCGCCGCCGAATCATGACATGGGAGGTTCCCATGAGTTGCTGCAGAAAGATCAGGAGGAAGATGTACTCCAATGGTAGTAGGACCCCAAATGAGAATGTGTGTAGCTTGCCACTCGCCCTTTTCCTCTTCGACTGGCGCAAGCCTTCCTCCCGTTTCTGCGTCCTCCTCATCAGCATCGTCTTTCTCGCCCTACCCGTTCCATGTCTTATCCTCCTCCTCCCCCCTCTCCTCCTCCTCCTCTTCCTCCTCCTCCTCCTCTCCTCCTCCTCTCCTCCTCCTCCCCCTCCTCCTCGTCCTCCTCATCCTCCTCCTTCTCCTCTTCCTCCTCCTCCTCCTCCTCCTCCTCTTCCTCCTCCCTCTCCTACTCATATTCCCCCTCCTCGTCTTGTTCTTTTTCCTCCACCTCCTCTTTCACCCCCTCCTCGTCACGTCCATCCCGCCTGCTCTCCATGCATCTCTCCTTCCTCCTGACAGGGGCGCGCATGCCGATTGTCTTCGGCGCTTTTGCCGCCACGCCCCGCACGGGCGCGTAGTCCGACGGCTAAACCGCGAAGCCGTTGGGACAACCCTGCGGGCCAGGCCGTTGGGACGACCCCGCGAGCCGCTCGGGCGCGGGGGGCAAACCGTTGGGACAAACCCGACGGCACCGAGCTAGTGGCGGCCGAATTCAGGCTGGAGGCGGCACGAAACCCAGCTCTGCCGCAAGCTGCTCCGCCTGAGTCCTGGAATTCGCAGCCTCAGCCTTGTCGTACTCCCCGAGCGCTTTCAGCATGTTCCACGCGCGCGTGGCGCCAGAAAACGTGACGTCCGTCAGCAGGCCGATGCTGCCCGCGGGTTTCAGCTGCAGGAAATCGCCCAGTGCAACAACACGATGTGGACGCGCCCAGGGTGGTGGTGCTGCCGCTTGTAGGTGGACTCCTTCGCGTCGTGCGCGTCGCTGCGGCCGCGGCAGGCGCGAAGGCCCAGCGCGTAGTATAGCGCGGCCTCCACCATGCTCACCGCCTCGATGGCAAGAGCGCAAACGCGCTCCCACAAACAGTTTTAGCTTCATCTTCGCATTGATGTACTTCTGGACTCGCAGAGCGCAGGCGTTGTGC